CTGGACAGGAGATGGAGGCCCTGAGCGCTCCCATGCTGCAGAAGCCGAGGGACACCAGCACAGTCCCTCCGTGGCCTGGAGAAGAGGTCTTTCCTTCGGGACAAGGGTGTCATAGGTTAGGCTCTGGCTCACTCACAGCAGTCTTCACTTTCTCAGAGGAGAGGGACAGAGGAGTCACTCTGATCAAAATGGGGGGGGAGGGGCTGGAACCTCTTACAGAGGCAGCAGCAGGGCTAGAGCAAGGGTAGGAGCTGCATGGGAGGCAGGCATCCGGGCAGGGGGCAGCTCAGACAACTCAGACGGAAACCATAGCAGCTCACAGCTGCTAGGGCGCTTCGAAAGCCTCTAGCACAGGGAACTTAACCTGGTGGGTCCCTGAACACACCTAAGGGGGCCCATGAGCCCCTGGAGTGGAATGCAGATTTCGTGCATGGAAACACGTGTCCATGATGAGGGCCCATGGCTGCCATCAGATTCTCAGAGATCCAGGATCAGTAATAGTTAAAAATACTGACCTTGTCCCATCGCCTCATCTTAGGGGAAACTTAGGTCCTCCAAGGGAGGTGACCAACTCAAGGCCACAGGGTTAATGCCAAAACAGAAGGGCAGCACTGGCAGCATAATAATTGTGACAGTGATGAGCTTTCCCCTGTCACAGCGTTTGAGTCTCTTTCCCGAAGAGGAAATGCAAGCTCCAAGATGTTAAACAGCTTGCTCCTGAGGCTTTTCTGGCTTGTCTAAATAGCCCACTCTCTTGCCTGAAAGCCTCCTACACAGCCACATCCAGGGATCCTGACCTGGTATTCTTGCCCCTCCAGTCACAGCTTCCTGTGCCCCAGCATCCCTGTCCACCTCTAGCACATGCTGCTCTAGTGCGCGCCACACTGTGACCTTCTCAGTCCCTCCGTCCCCAAGCCATTCTCCAAGGGCCAGCTCCAGGCCACCTCCCAGGGGCAGTTCTCTAACCAGCCTGGCCCCACGCCATTGCCCCCAGCCCTCCACAGAGGTAAGTCACGTTGTGCCTCCAGCCCTACCCTGGAGAGGTGTGGGTCTTTGATTACTCCTCTGCTCTGTCCCAGCCACATACAAAGGAGGTGGCCGCAGAGGCTGCAGGAATGAATGGCTGAGTGGGTGGAGTAGTGGTGGGGGCAGTTTGTTTTTACTTGGAGCTTTGCAAGTGCCCGTCTGCTGCTCCCCACCCCTACGTCCTCACCTGGCACCATCTAACCCCCTGAAATCAGCTGACATCCTTACTGTCTTCTTACCAGACTCGGAGTTGGTGGCAGCGACCGGCATGGTGAGGTAGGCAAGGGCTCTGAAAGGTCTCTCCTGGAGGGGGGAGAGAGGAAGATGAGAGAGTGCAAGCACAAAGCCATGGGCGAGGGAGCAAAAAGGGCCCCACTTCAGGAACAGCCAACAAGGTAGAAGAGAGGGCACTGCCCACAACCTGGGGGTGGGTGGTAACAGAGACCCCAACAGTCCTGGCATGGATATTACACATGTATTTCTCTGACAAGTATAGGAGACTGAAGAGGGCCGGGAGCGGTGGCTCACGCCTGTAATCCTAGCACTCTGGGAGGCCGAGGCGGGAGGATTGCTCGAGGTCAGGAGTTCGAAACCAGCCTGAGCAATAGTGAGACCCCGTCTCTACTATAAATAGAAAGAAATTAATTGGCCAACTAATATATATAGAAAAAATTAGCCGGGCATGGTGGCGCATGCCTGTAGTCCCAGCTACTCGGGAGGCTGAGGCAGCAGGATTGCTTGAGCCCAGGAGTTTGAGGTTGCTGTGAGCTAGGCTGATGCCATGGCACTCACTCTAGCCTGGGCAACAAAGTGAGACTCTGTCTCAAAAAAAAAAGAGAAACTGAGGAGGATCAGGGGGTTAATTTATTTGCCCAAGGTCACAAAACTACTAAGGACAGCTACAATGAATATACAGGTTTTATGACTCAAAAAAAAGGCCGGGCATGGCTCATGCGTGTAATCCTAGCACTCTGGGAGGCCATGGTGGAAGGATTGCTTGAGATCAGGAGTTTGAGACCAGCCTGAGCAAAAGTAAGACCCCATCTCTACTAAAAATGGAAAAATGAGCCAGGCACGGTGGTGCATGCCTGTAGTCCCAGCTACTCGGGAGGCTGAGGCAGGAGGATTGCTTGGGCCCAAGAGTTTGAGATTGCTGTGAGCTAGGCTGATGCCATGGCACTCTAGCCGGGGCAACAGAGTGAGACTCTGTCTCAAAAAAAAAAAAAAAAAAAAAAGTGTTTCTGCCTGCTCTCACTCTTTTTTTTTAATGGGGGTGGGTAGGTAAGAGTCCAAAATTTGAGTCAAAAACAGGAAAAACGAGTGTTCTTAGATAGTAAGTGCCATGAGCACAAGAACCACATCCATTTTATTTGCCTCTGGAACTCAGGTAGATGCTTCACAAACATTTGTCCCCTTGGCCTGGCTGACAGAAATGACATCCTACCACTCCCAGTCCTCTCAGGCTTGCTCTCTCTCCTCTGTCCCCTTCTCAGCCCAGAGCTGGCACAAGGAAAGCAGAGGCTCTGGGCAGAACCAGGCATGGATTATAGCCCCCAACTCCCATCCCTGTCCAAGCTAGGGTGGCTCCCCCAGTCTCCCAGAAGGGGATAAAAGGGCTTACACCCACCCTTCCTCCTTTTGCCTTCCTGGGCATGTGCTGCTGGCTAAAACCCTAATTCCCAGTTGCCATGACAACAGGAGTCAGCGGCTCACAGCAGGGGTGGGGGAGTGGGGAGAAGCAGCTGGCAATGCCCACTTTAGGACTGAATGCCTGCTGGGGGGGGCACAGCAACTTCATATCCTCCCCCAAAAGCAGATTCTTCCCAGAGGGACCACCACCTGATTTCAATAGAACTCTCTCTGTTCCCATTCCCCTCCCAGGCCTGAGCCAGTCACCTGAGCTCAGGTGGCAGAAATTACAAAGGTGAGTGGGCTGGTTCCCCTTCCTCCTGGATCTGCCCCTAAGGACGCAGAAGAAAGGGGCTTTCAGGGAGAGGAAGGGCACTCGCTCTCAGCCAGCACGGAAGATGGAAGAAATGCCCAGGATCCACTGTGCCGGCCAGTGTCCCTGGTGCCAATCCCTACTGTCCCTATTCCTGGAGAGCAACGGAGAGAGATCTTTTCTTTCCCCCTCCCAGGTCCTGATGACCTGGAACCTCGAGCCTTCTCCTGGCTGGCGCTAGTCTTCCGCATGGAAACACTGGCAGGATCAGAGAGGAGACTCCAGGAGTCCTCCTGCCTAGAGGGTGGAGGGTAGGAAGAGGCTGGGAGGGTCCTGTATAGAATCCCTCTGCCCAGAAGTGTTGCCCAGCCTGCCTGGGCTTCTCTCTGGGGAGTCGTTTCCCAGGGCCTTGTTCACCCTGCGCTCGCCACCCCCAGCCTCTGAGAGGGCGGGCCGGCTGTGCCCACAGGAGAACGGCAGTGCCAGGCAAGCCAGCCTGGCTCCGTGCCAAGGTCCAGGGCCCAGACATCTGGGAAGCCGCAGCTCAGCTTCCAAAAACCTGGGCCCAGGTGCCCTCTCACCTCTGCCTGCAAGCTGTCCACATCCCCCAGAGTGTCCCTAGGTAATGCGCCAGCCGTGAAAGGGGGAGGTTTCCTTCAACCTCCCCCCCACCCTTCCATCAAAACACATACAAAGAGGTGTGAAGAAGGAAGCTCTAACAAAGGCGTTTTGGAGACCGACAGGTCGTGGGGAGGGCTGGACAGAACCGAGGGTCAGAGGATGGGGTCTAGAGGCCGGGCCAATGTGCACGCACTAACGATCCGATCGCCCCCGCCCCGTGAGCCCTAACTCGCTGGGCGCTAGGACCTGGGGGGAGGGGGGCGTGTGGCGAGCCATCAAAGGAGGCTCTTTGCGTGCGCTCGCTGGAGACCAGGGGATGAGGTCACTGAATGACTGTCCCCCACCTCCCGCCCCCGTCCTCCCCCCCCCGACCAGGGGATGAGGTCACTGAATGACTGTCCCCCACCTCCCGCCCCCGTCCTCATCCCCCCCTGCCCCCCGCCTTAGTTGACCTAACTTCCTGACCCCACTCCTAGCTTCTGGCACGGATCCCCTCCCAAGTCCCCAGCCCCTAACCCTGGCGCCGACCCACCCCCCAACAGCCTGGGAGGTGGGAGAAGCAGTGCACCCCCTCCCCGGGACCCCCTCCCAGGGAAGATCGGGGTGTTGACCTCCCGAGGTGGGGGGAGAACGTGCCACCGGGACCCAGCGCAACCTCAGCCTCGCTCCCCCACCCCCGGAAGCGTTCACGGCGCGGTCCTTACGTAATGCCGGGCTCCGAAGTCCCCCCAACTCGCACAGCCCCCGAGAGGCCGCGGATACCCGGGCCCTGCGCAGCTCCCCACCTCAGTGCCTGAAGTCACTTAGGAACCCTTACAGCGGGGGCGGGAGACAGCGTCAATGGGCGGCGGGGTTTGTTTCTCCCTCCTGACACCCCAGAAAGAGGGCCCGGGGGCGGGGGGAGGAGAGGGAGGGGACCGGGCGGAGGGAAGGGGCCGGGGGAGTGTGGACCCAGAGAATAGGATCCTCAGTGCGATACCAGGACAGAAGGGAGGCAGGGGTCCTGGGGTGGGTGCTGGCCGGGGGGTGGGGACACCTACCTGCGCCCTGGGGAGCCCCTAGCTCGGGGCGGCTCCAGCGCAGCCTGGCGCTCGGCGTTTATTGCTTGTCAATCGCTAGCAGGGCTCTTAAAGCGGCAGGGCCTCCTCTGCGCGAGGGGGCGGAGACCGAGAGGGGAGGAGAGGGGAGGGGAGGAGAAGAGGAGGGAGGCGAAGCGAAGGGAGAGGGATGTGGATGCTGCGGGACATCTCCCAGGAAGTACCTTTCCTAGCAGCTGGTAGGCGGGCAGCGAGATGGTGATCTGCGAGACACTGCACAGCCCACGACCCCCTGCTCGCTTCCCACTCGGGGAAGCAGGACTGGGACCGGTCCCCACGAGCGTCCCTTGGCGCCAGGATCCCTTAAAAGGGCGATGGTGAAAGATAGCGCCGAAGAGGACGGGCTCGATTACTCCGCCCCCTCCTCTGGGCTTAGACCCCTGTTGCAGCTCCAGGCGAGTCTCACTTTCCTCGTTATCCTGCTTCCCAGTTGGGGAAAGGAACAGGAGGACTTTAGCGAGATCCCCAAGGAGCAGGATACCAACCGCCATAGGGCCTCGGATGATGGATACCTGGATCCTGGACTTCCCAGAAAATTCGCAAAAAAGAGGAAATGTCTTCGTGAAGAGGTTTGAACCCCTGTTTTAAGCCTGGGTGGGGGAGCTGGTCCATTCCTCTGTCTACAGAATAAAGAAAGAAGTTATTCGCTATCCTTGCTCAGAGTCCCATCTCAAGAAGTAAACAAAGGGTTAAACCCACTGGCCCGCCTTTGCCAAAGCCTCTGGCTCCTCCCCAGACCTGCTAGTAAAAGATACTGGGCCTTGAAATACCTGGAAGCCCTGTGCAGTGCAGTGTACAGAGAATTTGGGGCCAGCTGCTGCTACTTCTCTGACCTCAGTGCCTGCCCCCCAGTTGCCCTCTGCAAAATGTCAGGGTTATCCCTCTTCCTTGCTAACTGGATTCCTAAGATCAGCATAGACTGCATCCTAGAAACTTGCTTGGAAATCTCAGAAATGAGTTTAATTTGGAAATTCATCCTGGAAGCAGGGGACTGATCCCCAGGGTCCCAGGGGACTCAGCCAGCCCCTGAGCTCCAAGGGTATAGGTCTGCTTATAGGTATAGGCAAAAGTCACAGAGGCCACCAAACTGCTGAAAGCCACGTGGTTTAGGTTCCTTGCCAGGGGTGGGAACCTGCTGCCGCAGGGCCACATGTGGCCTTCTGGATCCTTGACTGCGACCACTTTGGCTGAATCCAAATTTTACAGAACAAATCCTTTTAATAAAGGACTCAGCCGAGGGGCTGTACTTGGGGATCTGGAGGGCCACATGTGGCCTCGAGGCCACAGGTTCCCCATCCCTGCCAGGCCAGATGGCATTGACCGGAATAGCAGTCTTCAATCTCTGACCAAAATTGGCTTCCTACAGCACATTTCTTCCATCCCTCTCCTCTGCCCTCAAGCCAGAAGATCCTCCTAACTGAACCCAGGAAAAGATTTCCCCTTCCCATTTTAAGGCTATCCTCCACTCTCACCTGTCCACTTCTGGGTGGGCAATCACTCAGTTATTTGCCTTTGGTTGGGAAAGGGAAGTATCTTGAATCACTACAAAATATGAATTACTTCTCAATCAGGCAACTACCCCACAGCAACCGGCAGCACACCTCCCATTCCACTCCATTCAGGATCCTCAGTGTGGGACCCCAGGTTCTAGCCCACGTGGGGAGGGCAGCCTGACTCATGATCCTCGAAAACTGCCTCCCCTCAGTAGTCAGCCAACAAGTCTCTTTCTAATAGGCAGAATGACAGCCTCTCACATCTGTTTGGGACCTCACAATTGATAGATTGTTTCATTCTCGCCACAGCCCTGTGAGATTACAGAGTGGGGAGAAACGTGTCATGATGCGGAATAAAGTGTTCCTGTGCCAGACAAGGTGCCAGTTTCTGTGATACCGAGCTAAATAAGGGCCCTGACATCTGGAGTTCACTGTCTGGGCGGAGGTCAGGGGGCGTTGTGTTGCATAGACACAGAAAGCACTTTCTGGTAGGATAATCGAATGCCACAATAGAGGTGCAGTAAGTGGCCTGAGCTGGGCCCCAAGGAATGGGGGTGCTACTGGTGGGAAATGGAGTTGCCTGGAAGGGAAGCAGGTTTGAGGGGTCCACAATGCATCCCATGGCAGTTAAGGGCTGCCCCTCCCCAGAAGGAGGACTGAGTCCTCTCTCTCTGTGTTCTGTAATTGCCCCAGAGGTAACCTGGATGCAGGCAGTGTCTCTGCTTCCCCTAAAATCAAGGTTTGCCTATGATGGTGTTCAGCCCAGAGCTCTGGGAATCAGGGAACAGAGAGAAATAAAAATCGGAGCCGGTGTTGTGAATTTCCAACAAACCCGGCCCAGCATTGAGTAAGCTTGCACTTCCCATAAAGACCAGCAGGGACCGCCACCAGCTACCCCCGTCTATCTTCCACAAGAGCACTCTGAGTTTCTCCACCCTGCACCGCCCTCTGCCTGAACCTTGTTCTGGAAAACTTTTTATTGAATATATTAATACTTCTCAGTAAAAAAAAAAAAAGTTTGGAGTCCTCAGTGGGCTATATAAAATTTCATAAATATTTGCTTATACATTATTATATTTGTGCTACTGAACTAAGTAGTATTTATATGAGAAACCACACACCAAAAAAGAAACTAAAAATAATTAATTTTAAACTGTAAATAGAAGTTGTAACATTTTCCCCATTCCCCAAAGGATGCTCTTGCACACTCCTAGTGCGCCCCCACTTTGGACACCACTGTTCTAAAGGAAAAGCCATGCTGCCCTCCCCAGTCCCAGCCTCAACAGGGCATCCAGACAGGTGTGGATCCAGACAGCTTTGCTTCCACTGCAGGGCCAAACAAAGGCTTCCCCGGAGGAAGTGTCCTGGCCCCTTGCTCCCCACACAACCTCAGGACAGAGCCCAAAGCCCCCCCCATCACCACCTCCAGCCGGCCACACACCCACCTGCCCTGCATGCAAGTCAGATTGCCTGTCTGGGGGACAGAAACCCAAAACCGCTCTTGGAAGCAGCCTCCTTGCCCTCATCCCATCCCACCCCTGGTCCAATACTTGCACTTTGCCCTGCCTCCTGCTTTTACTCTGCCCACTACCCCATTAGGGTGGAAAATTCTGGAACCAGACAACTTTGTGTTGAAATCCTGGTTCAGCCACTTGGTGTGTGTCCTAGGCCAGTTACGTAACCTCAATTTCCTCATCTGTACAACGGGGATAACAACGTCCACCTTGAGAGAAGACAGACATAAGAGGGGCTGTCACAGTGCCAGGCACACAAATGGTGCTCCATAAATGCAGTATCCTTCTGGGAGTAGGTCTGGGCAGGCTCTATCTAGGTGCCAGTGGGGCAGTGGGTGGTTAGTCCCTCTTTCTGGCTGTCTGATGTGCCCTGGGGAAGGCTGGGTCCACCCCAGGGCTTCTGAAGCTGCAGTTATCTGGTACAGATAGCATGTCCCCTTCCTGCTGCCCACACACAGTTTAGTGGCACCTTGCCCGGCCCTATCTGAGCCACGTACTTCTCTTATCCTCCTCTCTCTCCAGTGCCCACACCAAGGTGCCAAGGGCTTTGATGTGGGCACCATGTGAGGGGGCCAAGAGCAGGTCACCCGTCACCAAAGTGGGGAAGAGCTTTCAACAATCAGTGCAGACTCTGGGAGTGGGTGGAGTCCTGCTACCCACTGGAGTAACCGAATGTCCATTGCTGGAGACACCCCATAAGCCAACAGTGCCTTGGAGCGCCCCCTGTAGACCCTGCACAAGGCAGGGATTGATGGGATGAGGTGAGGGAGGTTCTGGACAGTAGCAGGGGGAAGGAACCAAAGTCATAGACAGACCCATGTTAGATGCCCTGGGGACTATGTGAGGTGCTTGAGTTGCTATTTGGGGACAGAAAGAAAAGACAGAGGAGTGTCCTCACTTGAACTGTGACATGGAGGAGAGCTACACACACACACACACACACGCACACACACACACACACACACACGCCCTATGCTGCTTCCCTCCCCATTTGCCCTGGGCCAAGGGAGCACTTACAGAAAGTAGTTTGGGGCTGAGACAGAGATAGAGGGCCAGAGGCTATGGAGGACATTGGGTGACTTTGGGCAAGCCACTTGGTCCGGGCTTTCCCTGCTGTAAAATGGGCAGGATAACATGCACCTCACCTGCTAACATGCTTTGTGAGCCAAGATGGGGGAGCCCCCATCACCCACATGTGCCCTGGCCATGCCCTTCCCAGGGGTGGGGGGGCTCTTCTCCACCTGTCTCTGGCCTCAACCACATGCGACTCTGCCCCCAGCCCTGCTTGGCTCCAGTGGCTCAGCTCCAGCCTCTTCCACACCACCCCCCTGCAGGGATCTTTGCTGCCCTCTCATTTTTGGTTAGCTACTCGGGCTCCCCCTGTGTATCTCTCCTCTCTGAAGTATCTGGGGGCAGAGTGGGGGACCTCCTGCTATCCCCTGCTGTCCCACAGGGGCTTCAAGCCCTCTGGCTCTTCTGCTTCCAGCTGCCTGCCCTGAGCACTGCGTGGGAGCTGTGGGGTCCTGGGACGAGGAGAAGCTGCACCCCCACCAAGGCCCTTTTCCAAGCCAGAGCCATTGCAGGGAGGGGCTGTCCCCCAAGCCTGTCAGTACAGAGTGGGGGAGCGCCTGTGGTCACCCCAAGCAGACTGCAGCATGCAGGTCCCGGGCAGCAGGCTTCAGATGAAGAAATGAGGGCACAGAGAGGGCAATTCTTTTGTCCCAAGGAACCCACTGGTTAGTGGAGAGCTGGGGTCAACCCTAGGCCACCTGGCCTCAGGCTCCACTGCAGCTGCTGCACCTCACTTCACAGGTACTGTGAGTAGCTTCCTTTTCTATGGTGAAGCCAAAGATCAGAGGCGTTAAATGACTCGCCCAGGACCACACAGCAAGCAAGGGGTGGAGCCAGGCTTAGCAGGGACGCTTGGTAAAGAGACTTGCCTAGTGTTCCATGACCTATTCTTCAGTTTCCAAAACTGATAACTCATAGAAACAGCTGAACTTAAACAGCACTTTAATTTTGCCTCATTTAAAATGATAATTATCACTGTTTAAAGAAATAAACCCCTAGAAACAATTTGTAATCTCTCTTGCTAATCCTTACCTAGCATCCATCATGGCTGAATCCAATCTTGAATTTATCAAGACTTGATTAAGACACTTTTACTAATGTGCCCTCAATCGTTCAGTAACCTGGCATCAGACACGGGAGCTGAAGAGAGCCTGGCAGCTCTGCAGAGCGGCTGGCAGGGATGCCCCAACGCAAGAACCTTCTGGCTTCCTCCTCCTGTGCAGAAAACTCAGCTCTTTGCTCTTGGTTTTCTCATCTGTAAAATGAAAGGTTGGGGCACAGGGACTAGATTACTAAATTCCCTTTCAAACCCATCAA